TGTAAGCCTGGTTACTTGGGAAAGAACTGTTCGTCTGGGTACGATTTCTGTCGAGTGTCCTCGCCTTCAAGTTGGTCCCCGCCTAAGTGCACGTGCGCCTCTGGGAAGGCTTGTCGGTGCCCCTGTATTGGCTTTCAATCTGTGTCGTATTTAAAAATGCCAACCCTTAGCAGCCAACAGCAAGGAAAGTTTAATAACATCACTATTGAGTTTTCTACCTCCAAGAGCGAAGGGCTGTTACTCTACAACTCGGACGGAAAGTACAGCTTGGATTCCGATTTCATCGCCATACAGATCCTCCGTGGTAAGATACAGATGTCGTTTAATCTCGGGTATTCCAGGAGCGCAGTTGTGGTGGAAGCTGGTCAGTCTGTGGACGACGGACAATGGCACACAGTCACAATTATAAGAAACAGGAAGGTATGTGCCGGTTGCTTGAGTGCTCAAAATATACTTTCTCCTCACTATACCAGTACATTGAACCGAAGACATGTGCTGAGAATAACCCAAATAATCAACTAAGACCCCAAGACGTATGGCTGATGAGATGACAAAGTCTCAGCACTAATTTATTGTCAATATGTGGCGATCAGTCAAGAGAAATTATGTTTTAGTGTTGGACCTGCGAACGACCACAGTTTGCCTTTTTCATTTCCAACATTGTGTGCGAAACAAATTTCACCATTCAGAGAAAAATCTATTCGCAGATCACCTGATGGTGTCAGTACGATAATTATAAAAGAACTCTTTTTAAGAAGCGCGAGAAATTCGTGATTCTACAGGAGACAAAGAAACACTCCTCGCGCGCTCATTCTTCTTGTGTGTTTGCGTTGTAGTTAACATGTTTAAACCGACATTTGTTTAAACCCATCTAGGAAGGTAAAGTCACTGTTGATTCGTCCCGCACAGTGTCCGTGGTTTCCGATGGACAACTAGAGTAAGTATTTCTAAAGGAAAAATTTCGTAGAAAGAGATTGTACGAGCATGCGGTGCTTATTGAAGATTTAAGTTAATCTCTGAGAATATATTTGGCCACAAGCTTAGCGAATGCTCGTCATAAACGCAATGGCCTGTCGGTCAGCGGTATGGACTCCGAGTCGAGAGTTCAAGGTTCGAGATCTGGCTCGGTCATGGTGTTTTGTTATTTGGGAAAACAGTTAACTATTACAGTGCCTCCCTCCGCGCAGGAGTGTAACTGGGTACCAGCAAAATGTTAGAGCAGCCTGACAAAATACAGGGGGAGGGGTGGGGGTAACCTGCGGTGGAGTGGCATCCAGGGGGGAGCATTAATATTCTTAGTTGCTCCTTGTTACAGAAACCAGGATAAACTGCGGTTGGAAGGTCATTTGGCTTAATTGCAGACATTTTTATCGGATTTTAACTAGTGATCTTTTTGCCTCGAAGGAAACTAGACTTGAACAACTCGCCGTTGTTTCTTGGTGGTATAAAGGACTTCGATCAGTCCCTGGATCACCCGGGCAAACACATTCAGACTGATGATTTTCTTGGCTGTATGCGGAATGTGTTCATCAACGGCAAGAAACTGGAGCCAAGTGCCGCCACGGAGTCCGGTGGCATCATTGACAGCTGTCCGCGGTTAGACCAGTGTGCTGCAAACCCATGCGAGAATGGGGGGACGTGTGTTGATTATTGGTTTGAGTACGTGTGTGAATGTCCGAAAGGATTTAGTGGAAGGAACTGCGAAAAAGGTTGGTGTGATTGTTCTGGAAAAGAATCTCTATTACGCAATTAACGAAAACACAAAAAAATGTGAATTTTCGAGTGGTTAGTATTTTCTTAGTTTTTGTCTCCTACGCTACCATTTTCAGTGCCTCTCTAGGGCTAAGCCTCACTGTATGGTAGGGGCTTTCCTTACAGTTATTGGAAACCCAGTTCATCCTGGCGATTATTCGTGAAACTACAATCCGACACAATTGTGGAAATATTTTCGCAAGGCAGTGAGAGAAAGGAAAAGTTATTGTTAGTTCATTGTTTATCGATTTCAATCGTTCGTTTTTCTTCTTTATTACAGTGGTACAACCAGTGAAATTTAGCTCGGATAGCTTCCTAGTGCTGCAGTTTAAGGACAGCTACCGTCGCGAGCAGCAGCGAAAAGAAAAAGAAGGAATCTCCTCTCGGAGAAGAAGAACAGTGTCCTCCAACCAGGAACAGTTTTCATTCAGATTCCGCACTCGGAACATGAACAGCCTTCTCCTTCTCGCCAGTGATTCAACCACGATTGTGTCCTCTGGCTACACTGTGTTGGAGGTAAGCTAATTTTCTATCGGCAATGACTTTGATTGAACATTTTTTTATTTTTCCCCATTGAATGAGAACTTTCTAACAAGGTACCTAACTCCAATTAGCATAAAAGCCGCCTACACCTATGTCATACACTGTTATGCGCTTGTTGCCGTTTAAATTTCTTCGTCCGTAGTTCGCAATGAAGTTCTTTCGTACCTGTTTAGAGTTACTAATCATTTTTTTTAACTAATAATAAGTTTCCTTTTTAAAGAGCTCGTTTGAAATCACTTCTCCGGTATCCTCCCATGCTGGCAATTGACTGCGTCCCCACTGTTTCGCATAGCTTCTGGTCGTGTTTTTATATGAAAGGCAGCAGTTTGAAGATCGTGAGTTATAGGTTTGCGAGTTCTTCCACGGTACTACGTTTTTTTTATAAATGGCGGCGTCCCTGCAGTAATTTTTTTTTTAGCAAAGTACAGCATTGCTTTGTTTACTTCTTGCTTAAAAACACTCAGCCCTTATTTACGCCGATGTTTTTTGTTACTTTCTTGAAGATTAAATCTGGAAATCTCAAGTACAGCTTCGGAAATGGGGGTAACATCGCAAGCTTTGAAGTCAAATCTTCCACTGTTTCTGATGGCGAATGGCATAATCTTACTGTCCTTCATGTTGATAAGAGCGTGACGGTCACGCTAGACGGTAATATTCATCCAAAGTCATTCGAAAGTTCAGCACACGATTTTCTTGGTAAGAACATAAGAATCTGGTTCCTTGGTGGTTACGATTCGTCTATGTCGGGCTTGAACTTGGCAAATTTCTCCGGTTGCATGGAAGATCTAAACATCGACGGTTTACACGTGTCGTTCTCGGGACCCAACAAGTTCGCTGCAATTTCTTCCCAAGGCGGTTCAGTTGGCGAGGGGTGCGATGGCGGCGGTTTCTGCTCCTCTGTCATCTGCACAGACTCCAGTAAACCTTACTGCTTCGAAGAATGGGAACTAGCAACCTGTATCAGCGACGAGCAGTGTAAACCGAATCCGTGCGGGGGGAATGGGACCTGCCAGCCGCAGAAGGACGGTAACTACACTTGTATGTGCAACGGAGAGATCGGAGCTTGCACTGCAACCCCAGGTGAAAGAGGCAGAGATGGTGATGACAAGTCGCTAAGCACTGGAGTTATCGCAGCTATAGCTTTTTTTGTAGTGTTGGTAATACTTATCATTGTAGCAGTGATTTTCGCTCGTCGGTATCGACGGCGACAAAAGGCTAACGACAAGACGGTAGCAGAGGGTTTTGACGCGGCTGTCACCGGGGCTGAAGTGGCTGCAGATGTGCAGGATGCTTCCCAGAGAACATCTCCCTCGCACAGCAGCGATGACAGCGGTGTAGTCATTCGTAATCCGAGTCAGAAGTCGTTGACCGATTTGCGACCGGCTACCCTTCAGAATGGCAAGGACATTGTGATACACAACGTCGGAGCCCCTGAGGATTATCAGATCAAACTTACGAGATCCCAGGAGAAAATCGACCCAGGATTTTCTGAATCCGACGGGGAATTTATCATGCGCAATGACGTGGCCTTGAAGGAGGTGCCTGCTGATCTAGGAGATATCTCAAGGCTGTCACGAACCCCTAATCATCGAAGTACGCCATTGGAAAAGGAGCACTTACGGTCGGCACCGACAAATATTCGATCAAGGAATCGCGAGCGGAAAATTCCGAACCCTCACTTTAGGCATGGCACGGACAAGCGGCAACAGCTATCCAGAAGTATCCTGGATCCAAGATTGCGCGTGCCAACCACACAGCCAACGAAATCTTCGAGACGCTTTCGGAAAGGTTCGCTGGGTTCTTCGAGCAGCGACGAACCTGCGGACCTCTCCGATGCCGGTCACAGGTCGGACGATAACAACTCTGAAAGACTTGAACACTACGATATTGAAGTAGCGAGCCTCGGCTATAGTGAAGTGTCTTACCAATATGATCCTAGTACTTTCAAAGACCATTCGTTGAACCGCCAAGAGCCACGGGGATTATCAGCAGTAGAGATCGAGAGACTTCGAAAGCAAGCACCATCGGGAAGCTTACTTGATGCAGTGTCCTCAGTTAGTGACGAAGACGCCCCGACAATCGATAAGTTGTCGAGCGTTCTCGAAGTTCCCGACACTTCAAGTGAGAGTTCCGATGATACTTTTACGTGTAGCGAGTTTGAATACGACAACGATGAACCTAGCCGAGATGAGAATGAACGAGGTAGTATGATATTCTCTAAGCTGGTCAATGGAGATGCGAAGGAGAACGAGAGTACTCCAAGGAGAAAGCCGAACGAGGGACGAGCGTCAAACCGAGGATCGTTAAGTACTTTAAATCTGAGTGATGATGAAATTTTACCAAACGCTTTAAATAATAAACCAACGAATGGCAAGAAAGACTTATTCAACTGGGACGATGTGTTGAACTGGGGATTGAGGTATCACAATCTTCGAGGAGTGTATAAAGACATTGCACAACTGAAAGATTCTACGAATGTTGCAAAGAACAAGGACGAAGAGTACGTTTGATAGAGAGAGAGAGAAGACGTTATTTTTTAGGGAACATTTTATTTATTTATTGAAATAAGGCTTGAAATTATCAAGCCAAGTGTGAGTGGAAGGTGTATATAGCAGTAGCGTGTTTTTAGTTGATTGTTTGAGAGAAAGAGGTTTGACTCAGAAAGACATGTTACATGCAGAAGATGCTTTTAGACGAGTTTAGAGTTTTTTTTAATAACTTTATTGAGTTTTCTGTGAAGACGAAATAAGGACAGTATTTATCTATTGAAAACTTCAATAACGATTTTCAAGGGTTTTAAAGCTCTTTTCCCATACGTTTTCATTATTACGTTATATCTCTCTCGTGTTACTAATTCTCAACGTTTTCATTGGTAATAGTCCTTTAGTATCTGTAATTGTTCTTTATTTTTGTTTTTTTTAATCGACGGAGGACATTAACCTGGGGACCAACCTGGGTTCGTTTTTATACGATCTTAATCTGGTATTATTAAAACGACTTCCACTCGCAAAATACAACAACAAAGTTATATTAGTAGAAAATGAGCGCCATCGTTAACGAATGCTGATTAAAGTATGTTTTGTATGGAATGTGTTTAACGAGCCTTGATTATTCTCATTGATATTATTTTCGAGGCTTTGACGAGAACTAGTCGCGTAGTGCTTTTCTTGTTTTTTTTTTATGATGAAATTATGAACAAATTTTTGGTGCACAAAACCTTTGTCTTTTTGTAAACCCATTTCGGTTACCCTCCTGGACAGGGGCCGTGTTTTTGCGTTTTTCAGACGAGACAGGGCCAGTGAGAGGTGTGTGCGGGAAGCGAGACACCCGGCTCGCACTCGCTTCCACTTGCCTGGGAAAAAAAGAAAAAAAAAAAAACGCAAAAAAATGGCACATGTTCTGCAAGCTACACTCAACGGGATACCCCTTTTAAGATTATTACCCCTTTTAAGATTATTCCTTTTGTTCATCCCTAAATTATTCATCCACTGGCGTACAAATATTTCAATGCGCTGCTTCCTTTTACTTTTCCTCATTGTAACCCAAGAGCATGTGGTGGCTCTGCTTTAATCCTCATTAATTTTTATCTATTTTATTATGTCTTTATGGATGACGCATTTTTTCGATACAACAACTTCATGAATAGAAGATTGCTCCTCTGACAGGTACATCTGATAGTCCTCCATTCATTGGCTTGGTTTTGTTCACCAATTTTCGCTATTTTTTAAGCCCACATTTAGACTGATGAAATATCTCAATTCTGATAATCCTGTCTTTTCTGTAGAACTGAAAAATAAATTGGAAGTTGTTAACCTTCTACACCTTAACTTCAGTATCTAAATTCCCCATACTCCTCTCTTAAATTTCCTTTAATTGCAAAGGATAATTCATGTCGCAATCCAAGCTTCTTAGGTTGCAGATCATTTCCTTTATTCTCATGATCAAAATTAACATTTCAGCAGTGTCACTGTAAGGAGAAAGTAGATGCTGGTTATTCTTAGGATTTGAAGGGTTAATTCACTCCCCCGATCCATGGAGTTGTGTCTGCAAATGACTGGTTGCCTACTTGTAAAAATGAGCTCTCAAAAGAGGTGGTGGATGCTCGATGGCTCTGGTCTCAGAAATCTAGATTGTCTGCAAAAAGATTTCCATTCTATTAAAAAAAAAACTTTTATTCTGCAAAAATACTTTAATCCCACAAACAGACTTTCATAAGAGAGTGGTAAACCAAGTCAACCTACTTGCCTATGAAATAATCATTTGTTTTCATTACTGTTCTGTTGCATGAGTTTCATGAAAATGAAGACAGCAGAACCAAAAAAATAAAAAGCAGATTTGCCTCTTGTAGCTCATCTACTGATGACTCCTACTTAAACTCTAAAGGCAACAGCACAACCTTCCAACATCTTACCACTGCAGTAATTGTATTTTTTCATATGTCATCTCACCTTACAGCAAATACATGGGGAAAGCAATTGTCTAGTGAAAACTTTTCTTTGATTTTGTAGATTTCTTCAATCACTGCCTGGTGTCTTGGCTTGGGAAGCTTGTCCATTTTTGTCAAAATCACCTAAACAACAATGTTACAAGAGCTATGAAAATTTAAAAATTAAAAATATGACACACTATATAAAACAAACTACCATTTCCCACAACTGTAAATATCATTGGCCATGCCCTTATTCTTTAAATGTTTGGCTGTCAATCAAAATAATCTTTGGTCCATTGTTGAATCTATTACATAAACAGCAGTGAGCTAACTTACTTGAAAAGGACCACCAAACTCTCCCATCATTTCAAATGCTATGAGATCACTTTTTTTCACCCCAACTTTCCCATCAATCAGAAGACAAACACTTCTTAACCTGAAAATAAAATTGCAAGTTACCAGAGGGCTGGATTTATTTCACCTATATCTTAAAGTTTAACCCTTTAACTCCCAAGATCTGATTGTTAATTCTCCCCTGTAGCTGCTACACATTTCCCAATAAATTAGTTTTTACAATATGGTGTTGGATCAACATAACTTTCATCTGATAAGTTTGAGTATTCTTATTACCTGTTTGCTTGATAATCTATGGATATTATAGGGAGAAGTAAAATGTCAATCACTTATGGGACTTGAAGGGGTAAGTTGTTCTGTGTATCTATGCATTGACTGCAAAATCATTCAGGAAGCCAGAAGATCAAATCCCTACAAGAAAACCTGTTTTTCTTGTCAGTAACAGATGTTTAAAATCATTTGCTTTACTCAAAATTAAACTTTTCTCCTGTTCTATCTCTGCACAGGACAATTTTAACCTGGACATTTATACAATTAGAAAGCAATGACCAAGCCTAACAGAGATTCCCCCTTAGAAGATAGACTAATGTCTAGCTGTGCAGATAGACTAATATCTATCTGCACAGGACAATTTTAACCTGGACATTTATACAATTAGAAAGCAATGACCAAGCTCAACAGAGAGTCCACCTTAGAAGATAGACTAATATCAAGCTTTGAAATTGGAAACAAATCATTGTTTGAATTATCTCAACCCTTTACACCCTAACATCAGTATGCATATTCTCCATACTGTTCTCTATACATTTCTTAAGGTGCTGACAAGGAGAATTTGTTTAACAATCAAGAGCTCCTATAGTTGGTGATCATTTTCTTTATTCTCATGATCTTAAATGAATGATTCAGTAGTATTATTGTAGGGAGAAACTAGATGCTGGTCACTCTAAGGGTTTAAATGGTTAATAAAATCTGAATGTTCCTTTTTTCACCCGCTTGTGATGAGTTGTTAAGCACACATTGCTCTTACAAAGTTTACACAGGTCAAGAGAAGTAAACCCCAAGAACCATTGATTCCCAACAGTTGATATTACATGCCAATTATCTCATTTAACTTACTCTTTTCCAGCTCGTTCTCTCAGGTAAGTCTCTGCAACTTTGACAAAGTGTTCAGTTCCTCGCTTGCTTCCAAGACCCTCCACATATCCATAGCCAGGAAGATCCACTAGGTACATTTTTGAATTGATGTTGAAAAAGTTAACAAGTCTTGTGTGTCCCTAGAGGGATTAGAGGGATTTAATGTTTAAAACAGAAGTAATAGCACAAGAAGCCACCAAGGCCTACAGTATTTAGACCTCTTTAATTAGCAGCTAGCAATACCTACTAAAGGTAGGGTGTGGAATTGTTCCCTTACTTTTGTAGATGCTGAATCAATACTCATGCTAACACCCTCAGAAAACAGACAGTGAATATATAAGTAGGTTTAAAAAGACATACTGGCTTCTTTGATGTCTTCACAAACTTTTTCCTGTTCAAGATTGCATTTATGAGAGATGATTTACCAACACTTGTTCTTCCAATAAAAGCAACCTGTTGGCACATGAAATAAAACAAGAGTTATTTATATACTAGTTGTAAAATAAGTTAGATTATTTAAATAAAATGGTTCAACTATTTCCTGCTAAGATTTGGAATGGACTGGCAATCATCAATTTCATCTTCTTCCCCTGCCCCCCCCCCCCCCCCCCCCCCACCCTTCCAACCCTAGCCACAAAGAAAAGACTCAATTCCCCGCTTTCCAAGATTACAGACCAAGATATTTACTTATAATTTGTTATTTAATGAACAGCTGTTGCAAGACGTTAGTTGCAATATGATTGATTTGTGGCCTAAATAAATAAGAAGATCTGATCGAGTGTACATGGAACGTTACGCGGGACATCACCTCAGGTAATTTAAGTTTTGGAGCATCTTCCAATTTGAGGGCCGACCCATGGAAAGAGGCTTTGGGTCCGATCAGTTCAAATTCATTGTCTGCTCTATCTAAAGCTCTTCTGGTTGGATTAAAGCTCGTGTTGTATCCTTGAATACCAGATGCGACATGCTGGCAGTAAGATCTCCATATTAAAAAACTAAAGAATTTCTTATGGCAAGTCGAGGACTGCATCAACTCTCTTGCTCCAGGCATACATGTAGGAAGCAAGTAGTTGAAGTGTGCTGATTCATACTGAGCCGGCAATCATACTGCGGTTGTAAGCATCCGGGATACTTGCGCCATGTGGAGGAAAAATGGCGGCTATCGTTGTCCCATCCAATTTAGTAAAGAATTGGGAAAAATCGGGGAAAGATGAAGTGTAAGTCTGTTCATTTCCTTTGAAATGCCATTTTATATTCAGTCTGTTTGAATCGTTAATATTTTTTTGCAGGTTTCGTTTGTGCAAGAACTGCGTGCGAGGCAAAGATGGAGAGCTTCTGGAACTAAACTTTCAATGCGGAGAGAATGGTACGTAGGTGAACTTGTCAATTATATTTAAATTCTTGTGATGATTTCTAAATTGATTGTCATTTTTACTTTAGATCTTAAACGCGTGATCTATGAAGTATTTAACCATGTTATTCAAGGGGATCTAAGACAGGAAGATGCTATACCGCTCCTGTCAGATGTCACGGTGAGGATCACATTTATTCTTTGATTATTCGTTCGATTTGTTACTTCCAATTCTGAGTTGAATTTATGCTCAAACGTATTTCGATTAAATGTCCAGCTTTGGTTCAGAAGACTTTTGGAGGTCCACAACTTGTGTTTTCATAATTTTCCGATCGCGCTTTTCTAATTAAATTCTGATTATGTTAGTTGCGTTCAAAACAAAATATCAGCGCATCTTTGTATCTCCTTAGATTGACTAGTTTCCCAGGAAACTATACTTTTTGGTTTTGTGTCAGGGGCAAGTGAAACGCTTTGTTTATGACAGATATATTTACCCTTTTCGCCTCAACTTCAGAGTGAATATTCTCCGTAAATTTCCTATGGCATCGACAGGGAGAATTTAGTTAAAAGCCAAGAGTTCCTTCAGTTGGCAATTGTTTCTTTCATTCTTGCGACCTTAATGTTTGATTAAGCAGTTAGTCCATTTGGACAGATTAGATGCTAGTCGCTCACAGGGGTTGATGGATTAAGTGGTGTCTGAGAATTTTGAAAGCAGACATTGTTCATGCATTAGCCCTTCACCAGAGCACAAAGGAACCTGGTAATACTTTGATTTACGTTTAACTCTCTAACTCCAAGAACTGATTAACATGTAATTTCTCCCTATACTATCAATACTTTATCCAGCAAACAGTTATTAAGAATACCCAACCTTATTAAATAGAAGTTGTTACTTGATCAAACATCAAATTCTCTGAACTAATCTACAAGGACATGCACAGCAGCAATAGGGGAGAATTAATGATCAGATCATGAGGTTAATGCTTTACATAACAGCTCTGGCATAATCAAGGTTTTGCCTTGGCTATTGTTTTTATTTATATTTTGTTTTTATTTTTCAGGAAGTCCATTCAGGATGTTCATCACTGCTAGCTGACCTGATATGTATCTTGGGTACTCAAGCTCTATCCAATTAATTGCTGTTGCTTTACGTTAAAATTTGTTTAATTATTCTGTCCAATGTCATGTGCTGACTGCAGTGTTGTCAGGAGCACAGGTTTTCATGATTGTATGTATCCTATGGTTCCTGGTGTATTCACAATCCTATAGATGTGGAGAGTCAGTGCACAGAGGACAAGCCCAGCAGGGAGAGGTTCTTGTCTCTGGTCGGAGCTTGCGTGGTATGTTAAGAAGCCAAAAGGCAGTGATGTTGCTCAAAGAAATTATTTTCGTTTTTCAAGAAATTCTTTGCTCTAGTAACAGGAGTGTCAGTTAGAGCCAGCAAGTAGAGAAATTCTTGGTCTATGTCCAGCAAAATTGCTGCTTATATATAAGGCCATCCAAGGGGAAAAATTTGGGGGCTTCCCTCAGTACATCAAGAAATTGAGATTGCTCTAGCACAGTGATTTCAAGTAAAGACTTAAATACAATTTAATTTTTTAAATAAAGGGGGTAAGGTTCTAAAGGAACTGACAGTGGTGCATCATTGGTGGGGTAGTAGAACACAATTATTGATAATCATTATTGATAATGTAAATTAGCTATTTTAAAGAGTTTCAAAGCTGAAGCCTCGAGCATTAGCCTTTAGTCAGCTCTGATGAGGGCTAACACTTGAAACATAGGCTTTAGAAACTCTTTATGGTGGCTAATCTATATTGTCAACTCAGTTGATAAAACCAAATCATCTGATTTTTTTGTTGTGATAAATTACTACATTGTACATTGTTACAAAGAAACCAAAAAAAACTCTGAAATAGTGGAAGACCTCTTTTTCCTTGGGAGAAATTCAAAATATTATTGATCATTCCAATGATACTGAAGAATTAAAAAATATATAGATACAGTAAATGTTATTTGAACACATCTAGATGTTTTCTTTTTTTTATCTACATCACTGTCTGTAGGGATTGGTTCCAGAAGTTCTGCTCAAGGAGAGGCTTGAAGTGGAGACATTGGACTCACTAGGAATCATACAGTCAACAAAGGCTTTTAATCAGAAATATGTCAGGACCAAGACTAAACTATTGTAAGTATATGCTGAAGGTCAACTTTTCAGTCTTATAAAATATTTGATTTTCATGGTTAAGCAGTTAAGATAACATACCAGTGGTTTTCAATTGAAAAGCATATTCCAATAAGCTTAAGTATCCATAAGCTTTACTTTTTATTTGTCTTAATGAATGGTATTTGAAACATGGCTGTGCTCTCCCTTTACTTGATTTATGTCTCAGCAATCACTCACTGTTTAGCAGCTTTCTAAACTTGCATCTGTCAGACAGGCTGATAAAAGCTGACACAGTAGTGTGAGTCATGTGGTGTGTGTGCATTACAGGTTTCACTGAGTAGCAAAATGTTATGTTTACTTTGTAAATTGCCAATTGTTAGAGAACAACCCTGCTGAGTGTTTTCTAGTTGACCATTATTGGTTCTTTTTAAGTATATGTTGTATCTGAACTGAGGCTGGCAATTAAGTGGATATCTGGTAGAGGACCACTGATTCTTTTTAGGCCTCAAAGGTGTCAGTGTACTCTAGTGATTTGGTATTTTTCATGCAGATTTCTTTACTTCTGTTGTTGTTATTTTCGTTTCCTTAGCTATAAGCAGCAGAAATTTAATCTTGTGAGAGAGGAGAGTGAGGGCTATGCCAAACTGGTGACAGAACTGGGACAAGAAATCAGTGGACATGTCACCAGTGAGAGAGTTCTGGAGAACATCAAGTCTCTAATAGGTCAGGATAGCTGTTAGATATCAAACAAGTGCAGAACTGTCATTGAGAGCTGGAAGATGTCTGAAATGGATGGCTAGTCTGCCATCTTTTGCTAGATACTCTCACCTAACTTTATCTTAATTGCTAATGAAAACTTGTGTATTTCATGACGATGTTCATCATTGTTAACATATATTGTAGTCTTGTTTGTAAAATTTGAATTGAAACCATGACATCAATTAATATTATGATTTTTTTTTTTCAGGGCGGTTCAATCTTGATCCAAACAAAACTCTTGATGTGTTACTGGACTCGTTTGAATGCCGCATTGATGTAGAGGACTTCTTTCTTCCTCTTTTGAAATCATACATGGAGAAATGTGAATTCACTGCCCTCTGTCACATCATAGGCTTTAAATTCCAGTTTTATAAGGTATGGATTTTTGAGAGAAAAGGAGTTTTAAGATTGACTCTTAGGATGAAATGGGAATTTTTCTCTAATATTGTTTTTGTGACTTTCTTTTGTTTTAGGAGCAGCCTGACTTGCCCACCCCTCCATCACTTTTCCATTTGACAGCTCTGCTTATAAAGCATGGTCTACTCAACTTGGATGACCTTTATCTTTATGTAAGTAAAAAAAAAACCCAACAGCATACAACAGAAAAGTATGACATAATTTAAAGTGTCTTTTTATGTTATTTTTTAAACACTTTTTCATTCATAAAAGGGAGAGTGAGGTGTGCTCACTTTTCCCAAATTGTGGCCAAATTTGACTGGCCTGTTAAATAGCTGCAAAGATGGTACTCATGTTAGTGTTTGCAAACTTAATGTGGTCAATCACTGAACCACGTATGGCACATGACTACAGGTGCAAAGTTGGACAAAATAGATTAGACATGACCAATGCAATAATACTCTGGGAAGGAGGGAGGTGCCGGTTTAAGGAGGGGTGGGGGGAGCTCTTGTTTTAAAGTTTTGGCAGATATAAGATCTGCTTATTCAGTTAAAGTATTGAATGGGTGCTCATTGAAGGGTGTTGCTTATGGAAGTCAAGGGGCTAGCTCAAGGATGTCCCATGCTTTTTTTAATTTGACAGCTACCAGACATGGTTCATAGGGGATCACTTTAGCTTTACTTCACATTTCCAGGGAGTAGTTATGTAGAGCTCTTGCAAGTAAATAGATGTTAGAAGTTCATTTTTCTTTTTTCAGCTCAGTCCCTCAGATGCAGACATTGTCACCAGCAACACAACAAGAATGGATGAAGCCAAACAGGAAGCAAGGAAGATGAACATGGCTGTCTTAGCAGTAAGTCTTTCTCAATTTTGAATTTCCAGTGTGCCTGTGTATGGAATGCTGTACTAGATGATAGATGGAGTACAATGGGTTGTTTGCATACAGGGGACCTGTTCTTATGTTGTACACTTAGAGCCTATATCCTTACATGTAAACTTCGAGAAGCTATTGATATGTATTTTCTCCCCACAATTTCATAATAATATCCAGGAAGAAGGTAAAGAGAGAACAGAGATGTATCATGTGAATGATTTTGTCTGGTCAAAACACCAAACTCTCATAACTACAGCTTTAGTTATGAAGGGAATTTATTGAAGCTTTATGGGAGAATTTATCTTTCATAGATGTGTCTTTCCAAATATGTTAATTAGGTTTTCTATCTGCAATACTCACATGTACATTTGATGCTATGTATTTTTTATTGCAGGAAATTGCTGCAGCAAATAATGAAGAAGGCAACAAGGAAAATAAAGAAAATGATAAACCTACAATTGTATGTTTTTTTACTCTTGTTAAGGAAGATAAAATAATAATATTTTATATTGTATTGGGTTATTGTCATTTATCCAGATCTTTAAATTCACCAGGTTCCAGATAATCAGAAGTTTGGTTTGTGTGAAGCACTGTTGATGGTAGGTGCGTGGAATAATGCTTGTTCAATTCTGGACAGATTACCTCAGTTTGCTGCTGTGTCCCATCCCCCCATAGCCAAGGGATTATGCAAGCTTATTCATACAACCATTGAACCTCTGTATCGAAGGTGAGTTCAAAACTATTTAGGGTATGGTTCTTCTCTTGTGTGTTTGATTGTTTATCACATACAGGGTGAAGTTACTGAATGCCTATTAGCTGAGACAGAGGGCATTTTTTTCTTAATCATGAGAGCACTTTGTCTTCATCCCTTTGTGACTTAGGCATGTTTGGGAAAACTTTGAAAATATGCATGAAATTAATCCTTAATTGCCTGAGGGCCCATGTGATTATATATAAAAATCAAACAATCAAGTTTCCTTGCAACTTTTCTTAAGGATTTGAATCTTAAAATGCTTCTTAAGTTTGCTGGTTTTAAAGAGTTGTTGACAGAGACTTGATCTTTCTTCAGACATGCTTCCAAGGCAGCTAGAGGACGACCTTATGCGCCTGTTCCAGGGGGGCCTCCACAATGCAAAGTGTTCACTGATCTTCCAGACTATGTGTTTTCCATGTTGCTTCATCTGGGCCCTCATTTGTCCACTGATCCAATCCTAATGGCAAAAATCCTGAGGATCAGTAAAGGGTTCATGAAAGATGTAAGTAAAGGATTTTTAAATGTATTGACACTCAAGATCTTGAGTGATTCTTTTAGCTTCTATTCATTTCTTTTAAGTAAGTTGAAGCAGTATCTCAGATTGCAAGTTTGGGGTATCCAGGAAAAGTTAGTGCTACATGTATTAGGACACAGAGAACAGACACAGGTCTTCTATTAGAAATTCTACCTTAAATTTGAGATAATGGAAAGGTTGAGGTACACACCAAATCTGATTTTCATTTCTACTATCTAGTCTCTATGAAATTTTTGCAGATCAATTTTAGGAATTTGGCATTATATCAGGAAAACACTTGAAAACTGTCAACTTTCTCTTCTCACCACCTGTTTACTTTTTGATTTATCTATATTGGTTATTGAAGTGATTATGCATTGTTTGTATTAGTCAGTTACTGTTGCTCTGTAAATTCCAAAGTATTTAAGACAAACGCTCAGGCTGATTTTATGGTTACTCTGACAAAAGTAATGAAAATCTAAGCCAATTTATGTTATGTTTCCTCAATGATGGTTAATCAAAATCATTGAGTGTAATCATGATAGCAAAACATGGCTGATGAGGAAACAACAGAGATGATATTTCTGTTTGGGACACAGAATAAATATTTTAAATCAGAAAATTTGACTGGAAATGTTTCCTTTTGTGTTGAAAGCATCCAAATGTGTTTGAGGAAAAGGAGCAGAATTCAGCTCAGGTTTGTTTGTGTTTATTATTGGTAGTCTTAATAGTGATTAACTGTAGAGTTCTGAAAATTTCAATTATTATTAGTTCTCACTATTCAATTGTGGTTGTGTTCATAGAATTAATTATTGGCAATAGTAGTTTCATTTCCATAGCCTTTTGCCCCTTGAGAGTGACTGGCATCTAATTTCTCCCTACAATGTAACCCCCAAAACACACATTAAAGTCATGAGATGAAAAAGGAAATTATCACCAACCAAAGAAGTTCTTGATTGTTAAACAAATTCTCCTTGTCATCACCTTAAGAAATGTACAGAGAACAGTATGGAGAATATGCATGCTGATGTGAGGTTGTATTGGGTTAATCAAAGCTCTTCTCTTTTCTGTGTCAATTAATCCTTCCATCCCCTCTAGAAGTTGATTTCTAGTTTATGTAGTTTGTTGCTGTGCTTTCTTGCACTGATTCATGGCTTAAATTCCTTAGATCTGTCACATACTGATCTTGTGAAGAATTTTCGTCATCTCCAGGAGTTAAATTGTTCAGATTGTGCTGATGTACTTACTTGACTTGATCTGTAGGTTGAGAAAGTCTGGTGTGGATTTTTGACCCTAATGGATGAAGTCCTGTTGCCATCAATTTCATTATTGGAATGTAACTCCAGTTTGGCTGAAGAACTTTGGGCCATGTTGTGTCGTTTTCCGTATGAGCTCAGGTATATCATGTGTGTCTTACCCAGGATTTAGGACCCACAGATCTAATAGAGTGCAAAATTAAAGTCTAACCCTGCTGTTATTATCCTATAAAGATTGTCCCTGGTAATGTTAAGCATGATAGGTCACGGTTTTTCTTTAGCAGAATGCAGATAATACTGTCAGGAGACTAACTTTGGTCTTTGAGTGACTTGTATCACTTCCCCATATGTGGAAGCTTATTAGCACTGGGTACTTCAAATTTCTGACACCCCAGCCTTCATAAACATTGTGGTTCTTGTGGTTGCACAGTTTTGTCTATGGATTCCACTCTAGAGAATTCTCAAGGTTATTTAATTCTATTAGGGAAGTGTAGCTCAATTACATGAGAGTTATTGATGTCCTCTTCTCATAGAGGAACTCACATTAACTTTCAATGCTGCAAACTTCCAAGAGAAACTGTGGATTTTCTGATGCTGTGGCTGGAGAAATTGCCTCTTCATTCGTTCATCCACAAACAGTCATCTTATTAAAATGACTTGTAATTTAACATGTTGAAAATAAAATAGCTATTATTTCATGCTCGTTTTTTTCTAAACAAAATTCAATTATGTCTCTTGTGTCAGGTATCGCCTCTATGGCCAGTGGAAAAATGAATCTTACAGCAACCATCCTAAAATGGTTGTAGCAAAAGCAGCCACAATAAAGAGAGCAAAATACATCACTAAGTAAGTTACTGTCAGTGTAGTTTCTGAACTTGATGGAAGGAGTTGCCAGAGGCTAGACTTTTAAATAATTTTTATGTTGTCATTGCTGTCCTCAGGAGGTTAACTAAAGAAAATGTCAAGCCCTCTGGAAGGCAGATTGGCAAATTGAGTCACAGCAATCCAGGCATATTGTTTGAATATGTAAGTTTGCAGTAATTTAGATATAATGTGCTCTACAAGTATGCAGAAATGAAATTAAGATGTTTCTTCGCTTGTGTTTCATCATTGATGCAGTGTTTTCATTAGAGCTGCAAAATGTTTGTACAGTTGCAAATGAGTAAAGGGGGAAAGGTTCTTAAGAAACTGAGAAGCTGTGGTGCTGTGTCAGTGGGAGAGTATAACAGGGTAATTTAGTGTTGTCAGCCAAGTTATAACTTGGTATTCACTCTCATGAAGGGCTAATGCTCAAAATCTTAATGGTGGCCAATTTATGTTATCAGCTCTGACTGCCATGCCTCCTACATTGGTGAGACTGGCAGAAACCTCACAACTAGACTGACTGAACACAAATGAGCAGCAAGGAAAGGCACTGTCAACAATCACATTACTGAACATCACCGACTTACAAACCACACTATTGACTGGGACTCTGCGCAATGCCAAACCTACAGCACCAACTACTTTCAATGACTGACCCTGGAAAACTGGTTTACTAACTTGGAACAGACTCCCCTAAACAGGTGTCAACCATTACCGGCACCATACAAACGACTCATCCACGACATTAACATTACAAACAAACCGAACAGAGCGATCTAACTTCACTAACGGATCCAAACCAACCAATCACGACTGACCTATGCCACTAGAGTCTTACAGCCAATAACATCATGGCAAAACTGACCAATCAGTGTACACAAACCGGACTAAGTACATTCGACTGACAGCAACCTTTCACTTGACTCTGATGATGACTTCCGCTCAGGTTGTCAAAATGTCAGTCACCACTACTGGCAACAGTCCTTCTCAGGACTTCACTCACCTGGACAATCAAACTACACTATTACATTATCAACTCAGTTGATACACTAAATTACTCAGCAAATGAGTAACCCTAGATGTGCCTGTCTTTTTTGTTTTGCTGTCAATTTTTAGTTCTGTTTACAGGTGTGAGGTTTGGTGACTGTGTGGCAAGCACCTTGCCCACTCTTTGCCTTCTTAGAACAATTGTTGTGATCTCATGACCCCATTATTCATCCACAGCTCTTGTCACAAATTCAGAAGTATGATAACTTTATTGGGCCTGTGGTGGATTCACTGAAGTACCTCACTCCTTTGGCGTATGATGTTTTAGCTTGTATCCTAACCGAAAGAGGAATTTCATTGTCTTTATTCTCCCACTTTTTGCATAAGGTCATAAAGATTCTCTCACTTAAATGCCTTGTCAGGGCATAGCTGTACATGCTACGGAAACAACAGAATTTCTACATGTATGTCATCTATATTGTAGTTAAAATGGCAGACCAGCATATATGGTAGCTTTAATGGAACAGTAGGTTAAATGTTGGCAAGTTTGCAGTTGCTATTGCTCTTTTCCTTAACAAGATGACAGATTGTATCATTGAGGCTTTGGCAAATCCTGAAAGAGAAAGGCTAAAACATGAAGACACTAACATCTCTGAGTGGCTCAAAAGTAAGGTCCATGTTATTGTAACTTTCAACACCGTTATTTTTCACATGGTTTGTGATATTTACAATGTTGAGTTCAGTGGCCTGAGGATCTAACTTCCCATATCGTAAGTGGAAAGGAAGAGGGAAGTGCAATTTGTAGTTTTGACAGACATTATGAAGGAAAATGCAAGCAGGTAGCTGAGTAGAAATCCTTAATTAATCAGCTGGGAAATACTTTCTCGATGTTGGCCTGCGAATCAGCTTTCCTGGGGTAGGGGCAGCTGGGTTGGAGAGAGCTTCCACACAGGCTAAACTGGTGTACAACTGAATTCTTCATTGTTTTGTTTCAGGTCTAGCTGTATTTTGCGGTACTGTATTCCGCAAGTATTCCATCGAGCTTACTGGTCTTCTGCAGTATGTGGCCAATCAGCTCAAAGCTGGAAAAAGTTTTGATTTGCTTGTGTTGAAGGAAGTTGTTCAGAAAATGTCTGGAATAGAAATATCAGAGGAGGTGACAGCAGCGCAACTTGAAGCTTTGTCTGGTGGCGAACTTCTGAGGGCTGAGGTAAATATGTTTTTTATTGTCTGCTCTGTGAGGTAACATAAGCCAGTAGTTAGTGTATTGGACTCCAGATTGGAGATTGTGGCTCAAGTCCTGGTTGAGTCTTTGTGTTGTGCTCCAGAAGAAGACAGTTTTCTCTCACAGTGCCTCTTTCTAATTAGAAGTACAAATGACAACTAACAAACAATGTTGTGGTGAAGACTACATGTACATTTAGCAGGCCTTTCAGGGAGAGTGATAATACCCCTTGTTGCCACATGCCATGAAGACTAAGATAAGGGCAGTAACCAGTAACCCTTTACACCCTAGCATCAGTATGCATATTCTCCATACTGTTCTCAAAATATTTCCCAAGATGCTAATGAGGAGAATTTGTTTAAAAATTAAGAGCCTCTTTAGTTGGAGATCATTTCCTTTATTCTCATGACCTTAATGTTTGATTCAGAGCTGATATTGTAGGGAGAAATAAGATGCTAATCACTCTTAGAGGTTTAAGGAATTAAGGATAATGATGCTTTTTAACATCAATTGTAGGCAAGTCTCTACTAACTTTTTCTTCACTTTATTCATGTATGTTGACAAGGTTTACGGTAACATAGCCAACAGTTTTGTCAATGTTTTTCTTCAGGGTGGATACTTTGGCCAGATTAGAAACACCAAGAAATCTTCCCAGAGGTTGAGAGACACTCTCATCGAGGGAAAGTTAGATTTGCCGCTCTGCTTGCTCATGGCTCAACAGAGGAATGGCATTGTGTTTTTTGAAGATCCTGATAGACATCTGAAGCTTGTTGGAAAGCTCTATGACCAGGTATGATTGGAAGTTTCCATTGCACTGTGGGTTGCAAATCCAACAAACATAAATTTCCGTGAATGTCTCTGCCTAGTGGAACTATTCAGTTTAAAACGGTGCAGGTGTTCTTTGTTGTTCTCGTGAACCTTCAAGCAAATTTTGAACGTGGAATCTGCTCGCACCTCTAAACCTGGTACTGGTAAAATTTGCATTTAATTCCAGTCTTTATAGGAAACGAATACTGTACAAATATCTTCGGTGGTAATTAAATAATCTTACGGTTTTTTTTGTCGGTACTTTTTTGCGTGAAATAAGCTGAAAGTAGCTAGCTAAAGATGACAGACCAACTAGAAGTTTTGGCCGCCTAACGACTCCTATGGACAACTCTGTACGAGTGCTGTGTTTTCAATATCTTTTACTTGAACTGTAGAAATTCTTTTGTTTTCTAGTGTCAAGACACCTTAGTACAGTTCGGTGGCTTTCTCGCCTCGCAGTTAACTGCTGAAGAGTACGAATCACATGTACCGTCCTTGGATGTTTTAGGCCAAAGTTATCATCTAACACCTGACGTGGCATTCTTTCTGTCTAGACCTATGTTTGTCCATCAGATAGATGTGAGTATTGAAAAAAAAGATGTCTTTTTTTTTCTGAAAAATGATATTGAAGTTAAGATCTCAATTCTAAGATATTGAACAAAGGCACACTTTTTTATTGTTTTGTTCTGTACTCACCTCCTAGATTAAGTACGAGGAAGCAAAGAAAGCAATAGCTGCCAAAGGAAAACAGCTTCAACAAAAAGTGAGTGGGTAAACCAGAGCAAAGTAAAGCTTTGTTGAGATGTTATATGACTGACTCCGCGAGCTGATAAGAAAGCGTTACTCCTGCGCAGCGATTGGCTATCCAATCCAACTGTGCTTATGCGGATATTGGTCAGTCTTTTCCAGAAAAAGCCGGATTTCAGTCAGGCGCGCAATAAACCCCTTAATGATCAGGTTTGTTGAACGTTGGCCTCGTTCTGCGTGCAGTTATGGACGGTAAAACCTTGGGCTCTGATGCACGTGCATATGACAGTGGAGATTTTTATCGCCATTATGGTAGTTAAGAGAAGTGACGGGGCAATCGAAATTGAAAGGAGCAGTGCTGCGGTTTATGTTGGCTGGGCGTGGTCAGGGTTTTTTGTTGTTGTTGTTGTTGTTCACACACCGACTGTAGAAGGCTTGTTTCGAGTAGTCAGTCAGTTCAACGTAACTGCAAGGATATTGAACGTTTTGCACGCCAAACAAAGAAATCTGTCTGATTTTATAACAGCTGCACCTTATTTTAATGCTTAAAAGTATGCTTTTCACAGATATTTCAATGAATTCACCTGACCTGCATTCCCACAACAGATAACATTTAATTTGTTTCTGTACAGCAAATTCTGCAGTGCTACATTGAAGCCGTGAATTCTGCGATGGAGCCTGTGTTCCAGAGTGCACGGCTCTTGCAGGCACCAAGAGTCTGGAATAGTATCAGGTGGGTTGATCAGTGTGTATCTTTTCCCTTTCATTCCAATACATTGTCACGCAAACAGGTGGCGAGAATGACCAAACAATCAAGGAAGGAATAATGTCTTGGCAAAAGATTGATTCGAAATCTCTTTACGAAAGCATAATAGCATGTATGGCAATCAGAGAAGAGAATTTATCGTTAATTTAGATCGAGAAAAGGTTGAATGTTGCCGTAAAAAGTTGCAACAAAGATTTACTGAAACTTTTGGGATATCAGATTTTCAAGAAAAAGATTAAACTGAAAACAAACAAACAAACAAAGAAGAAGGACATAAAGTACATTCATCATCTGCTTTGGATGAAAAATAACAATTCTATGGTTGGTTCACATTTCAGTCCTCAATTGTATGTGACTTTCTGGGCGCTGTCCATGTTTGATCTGTATGTACCATCCGAGAGATACGAACAGGAACTGAATAAATTGAAACAACAACAAGCGCAGCTGGATGATAACAAGGATATGGTAAGTTTTATTATCAAACCGAAGGTCTTGAAAAGTTGAATCAAATTTTGATTTTCTGTTCCAATCGCATCTGATAGATTTTGTGATGTCTTTTTGTCTCAATGGGCAACCCGTGCTCGGCAAAGATTGCAGCAGAAATGCTTCCCCTTTTGCTAGTTGAGAGCAATTTCTTGAATCAGTGTAGGCGTGAAATAAGGTTTTTTCTCCCGGGTCCCCCTACTGATACCGGCTTAGTGCTGAAAGGGCCACCCTGCCTAAATAAAGATGACTTGACTTGAGTGTTTTGTGAAGAGGTCCGTGATCGAGCAAGGACTAAGTTACGTGTTGTGTTCTGGGGTTAGAAACTTTGCCCTAACAGTGGTTACTCTCTAAATCAAAGAGATTGTGGGCCTGATTTATGTAATTCTGTGCCATTCTGTTATTGTTAGATCGCAAAGCTCCCAAAACTTGACCGTTTGAGACTCCTTAATTAATGAGAATTGTTTGTGTTGAGCCTCAGTTGAGTGTATTTAGTTAAAGTATGTCATGCTTTTCACAGCCGGTCAGCAAAAAGAAGAAGGAAAAAGAGAGGTGTTCTCTTTTAGTGGAAAAATTGAAAGAAGAGTTTAAACAACAGGAAGAACATAACCAAAGAGTGATGGCATCGCTTAAACACGAGAGAGACTCATGGCTGCCAGCTAGTAAGTTCAAAATTATCTTGAGGACGTCACGGTATATTCCTGTTGAAAACTGAAATTTATCCGGAATTTTTCAAGTTCGTTGTCTGTAATCCGTTTTTGTTGTTTTTATTCTTAGCTATCCTTCTTGTTTCTTGGTTTGTTACTTCTTGTGTTATGTTTCTGCATCTCTAGCTCATTATGTTGTGAGCTTTTTGTGGCGCTTTGTTCCGGAAACTCTTGTTACGCATCTGAGTTATAATTTCTCTCTTTTAGAAGCGACAAAGAGTGAGACCATTACACAGTTTCTTCAGCTCTGTATGTTCCCGAGATGTGTGTTTACTGCGAGCGATGCTGTGTACTGCGCCAAGTTTGTCCACATGCTGCATAATCTCAAAACGCCAAACTTCTCAACACTGCTCTGCTTTGATAGAGTAAGTGGCATTTCAGCTCATTTATTAGATATGTATTCTTTTTAAAGGGAGAAACTTTACGTAACATTAATTTTTTTCATTTAAGGTATTTTCAGATATTTCCTACACAGTGGCCAGCTGTACAGAAAATGAAGCCAGTAGATATGGTAAGTTACATGAACGAATATTATGAACCAGTATTACAAATGGAACAATTTTCCAATTGGAAGGCTAAAGTGTTTCGGGATTGCGTTGTTGTTACTTGTCCGCGATCTGTGATTGGTTTGAAAAAAAAAAAAACAGCGCCATTTTCTCAACCAATCAGATGAAAAGCTGAAACAAATCTCGACAGAGTCACCCGCGTTTTCCCGCGCTTCACGCTTATTTCATGTGTTTGCTTTGAGTTCTTGAATTATGTTTCGTAAAATATTTACATTTTTTTTTTCGTTTGGCCGATGACGTGGTTAAAAAAAATATATTATCAGCTAGGAGGCATTGCCTTGATAAAATCAGAAGGAGAAGTAGGAGCGTGTCTCTGTGGAGAGTACCATATTTGAGTGCTAACCTTGGATTTTTTCCCGTGATAGGTCGGTTTTTATGTTCAATGCTTGAAATAGTTATGAGGTGGCACGGTGACAAGAAAACATACGATAAGGTATTCTTATTTTGTTGTTGTATCTGCTTATCTTGTCATGTGATACATTTAAACTTTAGTAATTTTTTATTTGGTATCATCTCTCCTTTCAAAGTCTTTTAGTTTCCCAGACATGGCCCTTTGTTTGTACTAGGTCACTGAAATACGTTCATAAACAAACCCTTATTGGAAAAACTTTTTCCCTTGAATGTGTAGTAATTCTACACATCGTTTAGCTATTTAGTGAACGCTCAGGCTGTATAGTGGTCAGAATACAATTAAATACCAGATGGCTTTTGAACACGACCAAGAAAGACTAAAAGTTGGTTAACATGTTGTAAACGAGTGCTCTTTTCCGTCTTTCATTAGGAATGTGGAACTTATCCGGGATTTGTTACAGTTTTAAGAGCTACCAACAACGATAAAGCTGATCATTTGGACTACGAGAATTACAGACACGTTTGCCACAAGTGGCAGTACAAACTCACAAAGGTACTTATAGTATATTTCCCAATTTACTGAAACAATGCCTACTGCAGGAATATTGTATGGGTCAAAGCGCAGAAAATATAGTGCGAATCTCGAGCTTTGAAAGAAGTTGCTTAGAAAATGGCACATCCACGGGTCGAAATGCTTAACGTAACAGCTTCCATACGCGAGTAATTCCTAATACTAATTGTTATATTCGTTCATAAATGTTCTAAAACCACTTAAGTGCAGAATCGATACTTAAAGGTCAACTGGCCCGGCTTGCGTAATTTTTCCCGCGCTTGACGCAGGTTACGAGGATCACGTGCTCTGTTTCGATTGGTTGTGCGAAGTTTAACTTCTCGCAAGATTCTGCAGAAGAGCTGTTTTTTTAATTTATTTAATTTTTTTGTCGGTTTCAAGTAAGCTATAGTCGCCGAAAAACCCGATTGCCAAATTGTTAAGTCGTATCTCATTATCGTATTGTTTTTCTGTTCCTCAGGCTCTTGTGGTGTGCTTAGAATCTAAGGATTATACTCAAATAAGGAACACGATTATGGTGTTAACCAAGGTAGGTTCCTAGCCCTGTCAAATTCATCGGCCAGAATGCCTGTTATTCTCGCGACATTTACCTGCAGCAGCGGTCTTGAATATCAAAGGCTAAGCTTACACTGATTGGTTTTTATCGCACGAGATTTTGGGCCATTTCCTTCACAGGGAATATTTCCCTAACTCATTACCTTGATATCTTTGCAGAGATCATGGTAAGCGTTCGCCTTGTTTTTAATTTCACCCAATTCTTTTGACAGATTTTGCCCTATTACCCTAAAGTGTTAAATCTTGGTCAAGCGCTGGAAAGAAGAATTGATAAGATCTGTGAGGAGGAGAAGGAGAAACGACAGGATATTTACACGTTAGCTGTAGGGTACGAGAATTTGATTTCTTTGTTGTTGAATGTTTAGTGGCTTATGACGGCGATTTATGAAGTTTCTCTTCGTATTTCTTTTCCAAATTTAGCAGCGGTACTCCCATTATAATTATTATTTTAATGTTTGATTTCATCTCTTTTCAGGTATGCAGGTCGTTTGAAAGTTAAGAAAAGAGATATGGTGATAGAGAGCGAATTCCATCACAAGGAAAAGGTACATTTAACTGCAGAAATTTGTCAAACTTAATGTTTTGAAATCTATCTTTTCAGGTTGGCTGAACGCAGTTGCTTGTACAGTTTGTTAATTTGGTCCAAGAAGTAGTGGAACCTCTTTGCAATAAACTCCATTAATGCTGTTAAAAATAAAAAATAAAAAAAAACATTTGTCGTTCTACCTTGTAATTTGCACCTTCATATGTGGAAGTTACGAGAGTAATGGAAAATCTCACGCTGGTTTCATTTTTCTATTTTTTGTCATCTTCTATACGCGGTCTATCTTTTTTCAGCCTCTTGCAACCACTGCTCCGTCGTCAACTCAGAGTGAACCTGTTGCTGTCAAACAGGAAAAAACCGTGAGTTGCAGTACAAGTGTTACATTTCTATCATAAAACAATAGCCAGCTTTAGGTATTGGGTTTCAAGAGGTAAACTCGAATGATTCAGCGTGCTTCAATCTTTCGTGCATTTTTGGTTGTCAGTTCACTCCACTGAGCGAGTAAAGTGAGATCTGTGGACGTTTTCTTGTGACCCTAACACTCTGTTCATTTCTCTAGGAAGCTCAACCAACTTCCACGGCGACCTCGGACTCATCAAGTAAGTTTTCCCAGCACTGCAGCGGTTTAATTCAGTCGCAATCATCATGTGATTTAAATTTTTGTTCTTTATCATAGAATCTGCAAAGAACGATACAGATGTGAAGCCGAAGCTCTCAGGTTAGAAGTTAACCATGTCCTAGATGTTATATAGGTTACACAGTGAAGAGAGAAAAACTACTGAAAGAAGTGTGGATAGTTAACGGAGGAAAAGATCTTGGAATACAAGATGAAGAAAGCATTAAACATTTTACAACAAGCTTTATTCTTCTTTAGATTTGTTAACAGTTTGTTTCTTTGTGTTTTTTTTTCTTAGTGAACATCAAAAAAGAGCCGGAGAACTCAAAATCGTCGAGGTTTGTCTCTTTTTCCTTTAAAGCTACCTATGTCGAAATTGAACAAACTCTCAACAGTGACAAATTGTGGAAGTTTTTCAATAATGAACAGTGTACAATGCTTTGTGACTTTGCTTCAATCTAATGGGCTCTTTTTCTTACCCAGTCCCAACTCGACCAAAACCGACAACACGCCCACATCTCAAGAAAAATCAGCTGGCAAATCAAGTGCAGGCTCATCTAGTGCGAAATCATCTGGCACCAGTACCCCAAGTGGTCAAACTGACTCGCCTGGAAAAAATACGCCTAGTAACAAGTAAGATACTGAATTGAGTCGCTGTATAACTAAGTGTGTGCTTATAGCGTTATTTTCTCTTTAAGTTAAAAAAAATAGTCACGTGTTTCCGTCGCAAACTTTCTTGGAAGATGCCCTCTTTTGTTGCATTATTTATTCTGTCAATCAGAGAAGTGGCCCGGAAATTATCGGAGAAATAGTCCTTGAGGTTAAACGACAAACACTTTTCAGAATGTCACGAAACTCTCCCCTTTTTGGGTGAACGTGACTTGATATCTTAAAGAACGGCTGCGAAAAGGAAAGACCGGAAGCTTTGAATTCGGCGAAAATTTTTCAGTGTCTGAGCCGCGTTAGTCCAGTTCTGGTTTACCGCAGTTGACACGAGATTTAAATCTTTTTTGTTGATCTTAGATCCAGCTCTACTAGTGGTAACTCAAATCAGCCAGGATCCAAAACTGTTGCGTCAAATTCAACCTCAAAAGGAACGAAAACACCCACCAGCGCTAAAAACTCAGAAGGAAATACGAACGGAAGTGACGTGTCTACTGGCAAAAAGACCGAGTCCAGGTGAGTATCAAATGTAGCGAAAAGTTTTCTTTGGTTTTTTGTCTCTGGAATCATTTCCTATTGATCTTTTGGTTTCGTCAGCTAAGCTAAGAACTAGAAAATGCACTGGTTTTCACGAGGACGCAATTACAAACCAAAAGATAACGATTTTTATATGTTATTTTCAGTAAACAAAAGCTCAAGGACAAAGAAAAAGAAAAAGCTACGGAAAAAGAACAAAATGACAAACCCAAAGAAAAGTTGAAAGGAGAAAAAGCAGAGAAGGCTAAGGAACAGAAAACGAAGGACAAAGAGAAAGAGCGAAGTAAGAGTCTTGAAAAGGAAGGAAAAGACAAAGTGAAAGAACGACTGAAAGATAAGGAAAAAGAACGGTCGGGAAGTAAAAGTAAACATTCCTCCCCGGCTGTGCCTGAGTCGCCGCGTGATGGAGAGTACGAAAAAGGTACAGTCAGTTACAGAACACATTTAGTTCGTATGGTATTACAATATGAGAAAGAGAGAGATACCGATACAGAACCAAGGTCGCCGGGCAAACTGTCAGAAGCGAACTTATGCTGTTTACCTTTCGGCTGATCTTATAGCGTCTGAAGTAATTGTCAATAGATAATATTCTCTGGTGGATTTAGAACTGGAAGAAAAGCAAGGGAAATGAGACGGCCTGTGTACTTTAACGTTCGAGCTAGCGGTAAACGTGGCTTAGAATGTAGTGCTCAGTACGCTTGACTCTTGAAACAAACCGAACGTGATTATACCTGGACAGCGGCCAAATTGTCTGGGAATCGTCGAAGGGTTTACCTACGTTGGCAAGTCTTCCTCTTTGAATGAAAAGAAATTTCATGGTCGCTTTGTGATAGCGATGTGTGCCTCAATCCTAAATTTTGAAACGATAACTGAAAGCAATCTTCTGATCAATGAAGTTTTTTGGGGTCACTTTCGTAGTTTCGCTGACAGATATATTTCTTTGTAATACCTACCCCGTAAGTTTCCATAAGTGGAATCAGAGCTCAGATAAAAATAACAAGCAACCCATTGCTGACCTAGTTATTTACTTGTTTTCTTTCAGAAGCGAAGCGTCGCCGACTTGAAGGCATCTCTTCGCCATCTTCACAGGTTTGGGTTGTCAATTTTTCCTTTTTTCGTTTTTACTGATCTGTTTGATTGTGTTGATAATTCTTAAAGTTTAATTCTGTTCCTGCTTTCCTTAAAATTAAAATGATTGCAGAGATATGTTGTGCGATATTTCAATTTTGCTTTCCAGGAGAACTCTCCGTCGCAGGTTGCTGGTGATTCTGAGTCATTTAAGGTAAATTTTTTCCAATACTTCGTGGAAAAACCATGTAAATTGGTTACAGGGTAACTACATCAAGTGTGTACACAGAATACCCCCCCCCCCCCACTCATTCCAGTGCAGTGTTGACTTTTTGCCTCAAACCTTACGTTTAATGAGAAAAAATGGTTTTTAGATGCATACAAAGTTGTTTTTAACTCTTTTTTTGCCTTTTCTCTTAAGAGTCCTGAAAATCAGGAACGGAAATCAAAACTGATGGATCACGAAAAGGAAAAGACCTTAAAATCGGACAGGAAACGGGTGGGTTTTGTAGCTGTTTACCATGAAGTTGTTTAGTCGCCATGCCTTTGGGGAACAGTTATTGAAAGAGCACAATCGTCTTCTGAAATGGAAGCAAAGTATCAGGAACTTCGCTTAGCAACCTTTCATCTTGACGTAAACCGCTGGCTCTATTAAAGTCAGCGTTATTTGCTATCAAATACAAAACTGTTTTATGTTAGAGATCATGTAAAGTCGCGGTCTTGGAAAGAGCTTTTGTGTTCATCCGAAGCAAGGGCCTAATTTGTATAATCCTTAATCGGCCCATGGTCATTACGGAAGCGTAATGCCCTGCTTTGATCTCGCTCTGAGCCAATTAGAGCGTGCGTTATATCGGCCACAAGCTTAAGCTATTTGATAAACAGAGCACGTATTACTGTTATCTTCTGCTTTTCTGACGATTTGTCTCTGATTAATTTCCATCGTTTCTTCCTTGATATAGACTTCGTTAGAACAAGGTGAAGGAAAAGAAGCCAAAAGGAGGAAAGAAGACGGAGAAAATACAGTTACTGTATCCAAGACATCCAATTCGCACGGATCAGACGCAAAAGTCAAAGTGAAAGGCGAGGTAAGAAATGTTTTATCATCAGGCGCAACAGGCGCAACATTTAGGGTGAATATTGGTCACGCAATGTCGTGTGACAGTAATTAAACTGAATGAACAGCAAGAATTTTCATGAAGCTTTCCAACAGCTGTCACTTGTCCTGTTAACAAAGTTTCTATAGTTGAAAGATTTTCAATCCTTTCGCTCGGGATTTAGGAGAAATCAAAAATGGTGAAACTTGCTAGGAAACCACCAGCAGATGGTTCACCTCCTGGAAAAAAGGAGAAGGAAAAAGCCAAAGATAAAGAAAAAGATAAAGACCGGGAAAAGGAAAAGGAAGTTAAACCAACTGCGAGTAAAAAGGTATGGATATGGATATCGATTCTCTTTACGATGGTGTACTTAACGAAAAATAGTTGTAAAGAAATTTTACGTGCGTCATTGCCTCTCACTCTTTTACAGATCACCTTCCTGGGGTGGGATGTTGGATCGAAATTGTGGTCAAACCATCCATTCCTTATATTGAACGTACATACAATTTACTATGGTGGTTTGTTTACTTTGCAGAAAGAGTCTCGTCACCTTGAAGTCAAAGACTCTGAACCCAAGGAAGAACAGGAACGGCCAAGGAAACAATATCCTTTGTTGACAGTGACTTTATAACAAAACAACTCATCTCTCCCGGGGGGGCTTTGTAGCGTCAAAAATACATAATTTATCTTTTAAATCCTCTTAGAATCTCCACTTTTTTCTCCCGAGTACCTCTCTCCACACGGGAGCATAGATGAAATCTGACAAGATGCATAGTATATGTGAGTTTCGTGCCCCGTGGAGGGAGGTACTTCCTGGTAATAGGTTGATGGGCATGTGCCGCTAGATGGGGTGGCATTTTCAATAGAGTTGTTTGAACGGGGTCGCACATTTTCCGGATTTTGGAAGTAAGGAAACTATGAGAAGTAGGGATTTAAAACTTGGTAGATTCGCGGTTAAAAAGTTGTTGCTGCGTTATCAAAAGTTACGAAGATGGCAGGGGACTATAATTCACCATAGAGTAGAGAATAATCAATAGGAGTTCTGAGAAGCAAACGGCACATACCCAGCAAAATCTCAAGTACTCCCCCCTTCCCCATCCCAGAGGGGTTTCTGTAAGAAGCTAGCTCCTAATTCAGAGGGAATAACAATACTCCAATTCACTGCATGTTACAGAAACCGGGGATTAGCACTGTCACTGAGTTAGGGCCACTAGGCCTTATGATTTGAAATCTAATCTAAATCAATTTCTGATTTAGGGAGGAAAGCCTCTTGCATTGAGCTTTATTCATGAACTGAATTTTTCTCTAAACACCCTCGTCAACTGTTTTTTCCTTGACTCCTTTTACTCATTCCAAGTCAGGATCGAGAAATCGCAGAACATGAGTATGGAAGATCTGTGAAGTGATTATTTCTCTTTCATGATTCCTTTCGCGGCACCCAGAAGTAAATTTTTTTACAGAAATAGTTTGAAAATGTACACGTCTCTTCAGAAAGCTGGGCGCTCCTACAGTGCAGATTTACACCAATTTTTTTTTAAGCGTTCAACATCTTGATGTTGTAGGGTTTTCCCAGATTTTCCCTCCGCTGTTTATTCACAGTCAGGGTAGCGGAAGTGACATTGTGTAGTTGTGATTACGTCAGTTTTCAAGTGTTTTAATTTTTGAAACGTTATGTTAGAAATTAGTGTGGAATAACCAGTTTGTCTGTGGGAGAGACTATTTTGAATCCAAGCAACAGAACTGAATAAAATTCATCTTTGTACAGAACTGGAGGTTTCCTCTGTTGACTGTTGTAAAATATCGGCGGTTCTTTTGTATGTAATCACGTTCGTACCAATCAATGAATCAGCCATATTCTGACACTTTGACGTTTAGCGACCGACGTTCGGGTTCAATATCAGGTTAAATTTGAGCCAGGGGAAGGCGAACACAGTTCGAGACAACGGGGAGTTCGCGATAGCTGATAGTAAATGACTGAAAAGGGCACTTGCTTTGGCATAATAACAAATGTGATATCCATGCAAATTAAGGTTTTGAAATATTATGGCTGTTTATTCTGCTTCCGACTGCTACCATTTCTCACTGCTAACATCATGATCGAGAGCTTCATTACAAGGAACAGACCCGTGTTTGCTACCCATGAGCTATAGATGGAAGTCGCTCTAACACGGCCAATTTGGTTTCTGTATGATTAACTGAGAGACCTGCAAGTTTAACACTTCACTGATTTACTACCAATCAAAGCGGACAAATTGCTTGACTACAACAGCGCAATGAGAGCTTCCGCCTAAAATTGCTGCCGTGGTGAAATCTCCGCACGACCTCAATTATCAATCTCGGTAGGGTAGCAATACTTTGAAATTTTCTTTTATAGAGAAGAACGTTGGGAGGAATACATTACCCGGATTACTTCACGGGTGTCTTGTTATTTGTTTGAACTTGATGTAAGCGTAAATCTTATGCAAACTTTCCAACCAGCTTGGTGAGCGAACAACATAGCGAAGAGAGATCAAGTTCCTGCTTCAGTTGCTACAATTCAAAGACTCGTTTTCTCTGAGTTTCGAAGGTAAGCATTTGGAGATCATTGGTGCTAAGAATAACCACAACTTGATTGTTTAAATGATGCCTTAGGTCGAAACAATCGTTTTATTGTTGAGGAAACTTATGCTTCGTAGCTTCAGTAATCGGAGCTTAAAAACATTCATCGCATATTCAAGTTGCCTTCTACCAGTCCAAAACTTTCAAAACATTTTCGTGAGCTGATTTGGTTCGGCACGCGTGTGATCAGACACTCAAGCTACTGCAGTAACTCTTCGATACGAGCCAGAAATTACAGTAATAAAACGTGATTTTTAAGTCCTGCAGCGCTTGCTGTCTTTTCATGAAATGATTTTGCAGTCAACTTACTTTTAAAATTTGTTTACAGTACAAGAGACTGGAATTTCGCGACTGGTAAAGATTTTTTCTTCTTTTTTTATGTACGCAATCCGATCATCGGTTGAAAATGACCTTCGTTCACTGAGCAATATTACAAAACCATTTTGTTTTGAAACGATTGCTTTGCATTATCTTCATAAAACACTATTGACAAATGATCACGAATTGAAGTTTAGAGCTACAGAATAAACAGGTTAAACATTACCCTTAAAGGAAGGTATTTACGGCTTTGCTTTCCTCTATTCTGTGAATCTTAAACGTTAATAATTCTTTAGCCGCCTAATTGATTACTCAAACGGTCAGCGAGCGTTGTATGACAAACAAAATTCAACTGGCTAATAAATAGTTGAAGCATCATCCATAAACTAGTTCTCTAACAAAGAAATTTTTGCTGCCTTTTCTAGTTGAAGATGCTTATGCCCAAATCGATCTTATCTCATCGAAAGCGTCGTAAAGAGTCAGAAGAAGATGGTAAGAGTAACATGGGAAGGTAAGAGATTGTCGGCATTACCTTAATGACCGATGCAAAGATATACTAATATGAATTGTTCAATAAACATGCACAATATATACAAAACTGTTTTTTTAGGTATGACCTCCCTTCAAAATAAACAAAAACGTGTCTGCAACACAAAATTAGTATAACATCTTGATGATCGAACTACTTGAAGCTGTTAACAGGGTAATTTGGTATTATCAACTAAGAAGCTGACGTTTTGAACGTTAGCCCTTCGTCAGAGCTAACGCTCGAAACGTCAGCTTTCAAACTCTTGACGGTCGCCAATTTGTTATCAACTCAGTTGATTATACTCTCCCACCGACGCAGCACCACAGTTTCTTTAGAAACTTACCCACTCTACTCAGCTGTTAGTTTTGACAGTGAAAGCTTCATAAAATCAATATTGATAAAATTTAAAACTTACGCTTCCGTTATGCTTTTCCGCGGCCTCGCTGTCATACCTCCAGTACGAGAACACAAGATCATAATAAAGTATTGTCATTGAATGACCCTTGAGGGCCTCTTTACGCAATTTATCTTATCGTTAACCGTAAACGTTGACTGAGGTGAGTTGAATAACTACAACTCAGGGAAATTGCTCCTTTCATCTCTGTTCAGAAGGCGCAAACTTTACTGCATAAACGGACAATATTTGGAGATCACTGACGAAGGACGAGTGAAGGGAACGAGAAACTACCACAGTCCACATGGTAAGAGATTGCAGGCTCTCTTGTTCTCCTAGCTGCCCTCATTTGCACAACTCTGTTGCGAATTAAGTACTCGGGCCATGAATCCGAGCGGAAAAAATGAGGTTCCGTAACTTTCACAACGAACCTATAAAACGTGTTCTGTTAGATATATATTATATCTGTGGGTTCAAATTTCGATTCAAAGAAACTTTTGAATTTAGCGGGCCGTACAATGAAATACGACGCGTTACATTGACCAATCACCGCCCGCGTACTAAAGGAGAGATCTGATAGTTCTGTTTCTTTCAATTAGTTGTACAAGCAGGTTTTATGATCGGAACAATATATGGTATTTCTTCTTTTTTTTAATTTTTCAGTCGTGCTAGAGCTAGTTCCAGTGGCAAGAGACCTTATACATATTAGAGGAGTCCATACGGGGTTTTATCTCGCAGTGAACAAATGCGGAGAGGTGTACACCACGGTAAGTCATGGCAGGTTCTCTGCTCTTGTCGTTACTTAGATTTTATTGCATCAGTATTAATGAACAATCAGGCTGCGAAATATGCGAGGCGAAGATGAGCTTCATTTATTGATAATTGTGCGATTTTACACTTGCGGACGACGCGCTTTAAATCATGCAGCCACTCAATTCTCGTATCCATGCTCACCCGTCCACCTGATATGCTTTCACTATTCTCACTCTCGGCGAAATAACCTTTCGAAAACTGTAAAATTTCCAAAAAAAGGATCGCTTTTATAACTTGTTAGTTAGACTCGTACATCTCATGCGCTTATTTGAATTATCAGGCCAAGAATTTTTAGGGAAAACTTGTCGAACGCTTTCCAAAAGTATCAGTTTACATTTGTCCTCAGACTTAATCTATTCACCAAAGCTCATCGTTTTTCTCGAACTATGCTCTCGTAATAAACTCTCATTTCTCCGAACTGGTAATATGTCCGTGGACAAACTTTGGAGCCTATTTTCCGCGGCAGCCCATCTAATACTAATTTTAACATCATAAGGATGAGGACAACGCGTTTTAATTCGTTGCAATTTTCCTCTGTTAGTTTCCAGCAATAGTTGTAGTTAACTGTGTGTACAGTTCCCTTTCATGTTCTCATTGTGAATTAAGTTATTTAACAATTATTCGCGACAATTGTTTTTTAATACGATTGCTCATGTGCTGTCGAATTCTGTTGTAAACATCTGCGAGTAAAGGAAGCAGAGCGCATAGTTTGTTACAATTGTGTTGATTATTCGTATCAAGATTAGCAAGCAGTATAAACAGGTTCATTTCATTAAATCAGCAAAAGTTCACTATCTCTTTTTTTGAAAAGTTTTCCGCCAAACCCAGAAGCATCTTTTGTGCTCTTCGCAACTGAATTTTCTCCTGTCGCGTTTATCAATTCCTCAGAAACATTGACCAAACGCGAGGCACTCATTTGAAATTTAGTCCTCGACCAATCAGATCAGAGCGCGGGCATCTCTTAATTTTACTAAAAGCTGGATGCTATGACAATTAATGTCTCTTATCTGTGTTGTTCTTAAAAACGAATTACTTTCCCTTTTTCACTGACATAGATGATGAAAAACGAAGAGTGTATCTTCAGAGAAAAACTAACAAGAAACTTCTACGACAGTTACTGTTCCCACAAATACAGCCGTGATAACTTAGTGCTGGGACTCATGAAAATTGGGGCATCAGTTACCACCACAAGAAGCGAGCGCTTTCGAAAAGAACATGAGGGACAATTCATAACAATGATTACTTTCTAATGTGCATGATCCATGAATCAAACAGATATCAAAGATTGGAAAATAAACTCTGATTGTTTTGTTTTGGAAAAGTGAATCAAGTCAGCCGATGTGGTCGACGATCCGTGGTGACAAATCTAAGTACGGGAAGGAATAAGTGGTCGCTGCTGAAAACTTCATAGTTATGCCGATAATTCCCAAACTCAAACGACTCTCGTTAAATTTCAGAATTAAATGATGTATATCTTTCTTAGACCGGTAGACTGTAGAGAAATGACGTAACAATCCCTAGATGTGAGCTGTGTAGCATAGCTGCCAAGGTGTGGCATACTTCTCCCCATGGACGCCTGACATTTTAAGTTCTGGCGGTATCGCTTGTCACTTTGAGCCTAGTAATATATTACCTTGACATTGAGTTCTCTGTTGCTCTGTGGTAGGGCAGTGGAGTGCGAAATCCGAAGGTCTGGGGTAATCTCGTACTCAGATCCTACCTTTTTACTGTAAACGAAATGTACTTACAACCGCTCGACCCTGGAAGGTCTGGGTACGAGATTAGGTCTGGGGTTCAATTCCTTGAGGGCATTCAGATTTTTTCTTTGTCCCACAATTGTGATGAAACCGAGGAACCATTTCTTTTTCAACTACCGAGCCCAAACTTACCATTTTACTTATTTAAGCGGGAAGATTTATGACGTTATAACTGAACTGTGCGAAACTCTTTGAATCCTCATAACGTATAAAATCTGTTTTATTGCAGACATTCGGCTTCCTTTGAAACCAGTTGTTACAGGCTATACGATATCTCAATAAATTAAAGTATATTGAAGTAATGCGTAAATTCAAAGCGTACTTATGAAGGCTTGTTATTATATTACTACAAGACGGCTATGTTTTTTCTTTATACGATGAAATACAATCTCCTCAAGGAAAAAGAAGTCGCGTTGACCTCAAATGGTTCAATTAAATGATCATTTCTAATTTTCAATAGGCTCGAGCGTAACTAACCAATCCTACACGTTTCTTTACAAACTTACGAAAAAAAGGAATGAGGTAAATTCCATTTCCAATCACTTTGCTATGAATTTTTGTCTTTGGCCAAGAACTTTGTTGCTGATAATAATCTCTAGTTTTTTTTTTGGTTATTTTATTTTTGATTAAGTCTTAACATATCAATATATTCATGAAGATCAGGCTTACTACATTTATCATGGACTTTTCAGGAAAAGGTCCCTTGGTCAAACGATGACTTAACACCATTTGTCACAATGCATTTTCCCACCGAGGCATAAACAGAATTGGCAATCATCGGAATACTGCTCCAATGTCTGTTGGCAATAGATAAAAAAGAATGTTTTAGTAAAAAAAAAAGTAATAATACTAATAATACTAATACCAATAATGACAAGAACAAGATGAAGAAGTTGTAATCATGCGATCTATGATGTGAAAAGACTCTTAGAAAAGCCAGCTAATAGTTTGCATTTCCTCAGCTTAACTTTTTCTTCCTTGGAACAAAGTCACAGTGAGCAGTGATAGTTGACTCATGGAGCAATTTTCGGTAGGGTGTGAAATGCAATCAGAGAATAGGTTAGATTTGTTTAAGATGTTTTCCTATCCACTGATTGGCTACATACAGCGCACTCTAAAACCAACACTCTCCATTTGCAGTCGAATGATTCTCACACATGAGTGAACCAAAATATTAAAATAGGATGCTTAACATGTCAATTACCCTTGATGTCTTTATGTTATAGAAAACTCTCAAATGAAGAACTGTTGAGGTTCATTGATCGTCAAAATCACAGCCCAAATTGGATCTCTTTAATAGCCGACTCATGGAGTTTGAAATTTTTGGTGAGCACCGTGCGAGTTGTACATGCCAGGCTCTCGACAGGAGTGAACTCCTCTTATTTAACATAACCTCCCTACCTTGTATCTCTTTCCTTTGTGCAAACAACCACAGCGAGCAGTTGCCATACATTTTCCCTGTCCATTCAGTACTCTCCCTTCAGGGCAGAAACAACCCTGAGTACATGATTGGCATTTGAGGCCATCATAATTTGAACAGGTGGCGTCACAGCCACACTTAAAAACTTTTCCAGTACCGCGACACTGATCCTCTGAGGAAATGAAAATGATAAGAAAAGTAGAACAAAGCGTTTATTATGGATTTAAGTTAAGGATCAGATTTCAACGAATTGAGCAAGCGGTTAGGTGAAGCCTATCTCTATTCTTGTCTTATTTAGATCAACTCCTCCAAGAAGGACCCGTTACACCATCTAATGTAAAGCTTGATCGACGATATTAATTTTGCCTTGAAATATGATATACGAGATGTTGTCTTCGGCTTCACAACTTTTGGGAAAGACGATAAGACGCAGATTGGCTCGATGAGTGCACTAAAGTTGAATTTTTGTGATGTGATACTTGAATCTTTAATGAAAACTCACCTTTACAAATTGGACAGCACTGTCCCTTGAGAGTCACAACGTCCCCTGACTTTCCACTACAGTCAGGCTTCGGGCAGACTGGCGGTGAACATGTGACCTTACCACCCTGTAGAAAGACCACATCATTAAGTAAATGATGCATTTTCCATTACACTAATGGCCTTTCTTTTCCCGTCCTTTCTCACAGAAGAGAAGTTCCGCTTACCTCACATTTGCAGGTCTGACAACTATCGTTACTTGATTTCCATGTTTCGCCCTCCATATAAGTCTGATCGTTATCCTTGCAGACTTGGCATGTGTATGTGCAGATCACCTGGCCCCACTGGATAAAAGAGAGGTAAAAAATCAACGCAATGAATGATAAAACGACGGTTCAAGCAACTACGAACAGATTTGTAAGCATAATCGTGGTCGACGCGAGGAGAACGCATAGTACTCGTGTCGCGTCTTTCTGGATGCTGTGCTATTTCAGGTTTGGGCGCCATCTTGGATTGTCTAACCACTCGCCTCAATTTCATGCGAGAGTTTTGAGTCCTGCTGGCTAAGTGAAGTCCCGCGGGTTGATTTGCTCATAGTGAAGTATTGTTGAACACAGAATAACTGTTGGCGCAATTTTGTCCTTCTACTCGTTTTGCCGATGCCATTTTACCAAGATTTTAAATTATTAAACCTTATCTTCTGCCTGCTGAAAAAGCATCTCGCAAGTCAACTTTCCCTAATATTTCTGGGAAGTCAGTACGATAAAAAAAAATATTATTTTACTCGAGATCGAAAGTAGTTTAGTAATCCATGATTATCACTAATTTCAGATTTTAATTGTTTTTAGTTATTAATTTTTTTACGAGCTCATGGCAGATAAAACAATCAAGTCTCCCATGAGAATTCCAACTAACTAGGGACCATCAAATTTCGCGGTTGTATCAAAGACCTACCGGATGAGCCACAAACAACTCTTTTGTGAGTTTTGCTCTATTCTGAATACCAACTTAAATATTCCTAAAATCAGTTCTTTTATTCGTGGGGACAAATTCAACATCCAAACCCTGGCTTAAGTCCAAAACGTCACTTTATCAAAAGTTGTAGCCACATTTTTTTCGTTACGTAGAATTTTAATTTGAAATACGAATTTCCTCATGTAATCTCTCGCGCTCCTACCGGTTTTAGGGCGCATGCTCACCTCGCAGTGACAAATGTTACACTTATCCCTTGTCCAGCGGTTTCCGTCCGCGTATTTCAATCCATCAACTACACAGTCCTTTTTGCCAACGACATCAGTGCACTGACACTGAGAAGAAAAAATTAGAACAGTGTTTTTATTAATCAGAACGTTATCATATGCAAGCCATGTTTCAAGAAACATTTCAAACTCTCTAGATTGGATGTTAGTCCATCGCAAACCAACATGACGTCTTTGGGACATTTCGCCTGCATTTGCTAACAGAAAGTCAACAGCCTTAAGCTGTACCATGTACATATGACGACTGCTAAAATTAGAGTTCGCATCTGAGAGTTAAATTACATTTTAAATCACATCTGATAAGATAATAACTTTCGGAACTTTTTTAACCATTTCACTCCCAAGATCTTATGATTAACTCTCCTTACTGTCTGCCATTGAGTTCTTAGGATGTCAGTTCCGAGAATTTGATATTGGATCAACTGATAATCCCCTAATCGATATTTATTTCTTTATTCTCATCTTTCGTCTACTTAATTTTGTACCGATATCTTAGGAAAAATTCTGTCTTGGTCGCTCATGGGAGATGAATGAATCTTCACAAAAATATTTCGTTGTAGTCGTCATTGCACCGAGGTTGAATTTTGACAATCACATACCTTTGCGATCTTGGAGCAGTCGCCAAGGGGTGACCCTCTGACAAATTTGACATCTTGTAGATCCCCCTACAAAAAAGATGTTACGACAACTGAATTTTTAAAAACCAGGAGACTGGAAAAAAAATATAAACAGCTCAGAGCAATAGAATATAACTTTCTTTTGCACATGGTCATTTTTTTTTAGGTGAACCCAAAAATCCTTCTTAGAAAAATATCAAGGCTAAAAACCACCTTTCTTTTCAGACGGGTTCTACATGTTACACCTGGACTATCCTTTGCCCACTTTTTTGTAGCTTAAATGGACGTCAGTGGAAACACGAGTTAAAAAGAATTTGAATCTTGTAAGGTCTGCTTGCAGAACAGCTTACCCTAAATCGTGAGGTTATTTCACCAGTGTTTTCTAAGTACACCTCGAAAACCTGTCCGAGACGCAGCTGTGCATCTTTAGGGTATGGCTGAGGGGTGTATCTAAAGGAAAACACGTTGATCATGCTGTCATCCACGTACACTCTCATCAGGGATTCGGATTCCTGGATTCGAACCGCTATCTTGTGCCATGTTGTGTAGTCCAAGGATCTGCTACTCGAAGCTTCAAATCTTTTGGGAGATCCTCCCTTCGTCTGCACTGTAACAACTATTTCAAGTCCTGATCCTCGTGCATTCCCTCTGAGCCACAGTGAAAAAATAATTAAATAAATGAACACATGATTAAATAAAAGGAAAAAAAATGGCATCAGGAAAAGTGTTTACAAGACTTATCCTTCGCTTGCGAGATGGGTGGGTGGACAACTGGCCACGCGGGGAAAGGGACTTACACGCGCGTCAGAGAGGTGAAGCGCGCGCTTACCGGTGGAAATCACTGCTGCTTCGAGTTCAGTGAAATTGTTGTATTTTGGGTCAATTGACACTTCAAACCCCAAGAGTAACTGGCATCTAATTTCTCCTCACAGTATCATTTATAAATCAAACGCTACGGTAGTGAGAATGTAATATATGATCGCTCGCTAACTCTTTGTAAGTACCATGGAAAATGTAAAGTGAACCGCGAAAAAAATGGACAAACGTATTTCAGGGTGTGAAGGGTTAAACGAATTTTAAAAATCATACTATGGGATTTGGACAATCGTTTTTAACGGCTCTGGCTGCTATTTTGAATTCATGGAGATACTGTAGA